TATAAACAGCTTCTGTTTGGGTGGAATCCACTTTTCTGGCAAGGGTAACATGGGCAGTAGGCAGATGCACCCTAACCACCGCCTCTCAGAGCTTCTGTGGACCAGTTGCCTTGTAAATCACCTGCTAGGGACAAAGTGACAGTCATTCCACCATAGTCATTCTCATTGCTGTTTCATTGGCCCAGCACTGGAGCATTTGTTCGTAGCCCACTTGAACTGAACAGGGAACAGCATGATTGTTGAGGTACACTGTGTGCCCAGCAGCCAAGGATAAACTCCCATACAACTTGATGAAGCAGCAAGGTTCCCTGTAGTTCTCTCCAGCATTTACTCTGTCTTCACCTCTGAGAAACTAGATTACCCAGTAGATTTTTACAAAGGCCAGATCCTGTTCCTCAGGCCCATGTGCCAATTGTAATCAACAAAACCACACTCTTGAGGCAGGGCATTTGCGTAGTGAGGTGAGACCTAAATGGACAGTGGCAGGAAATTCTTTTTTTTTTCTTTCTTTTTTTTTTTTTTTAATGTATTTGGTACAGGGTCTCACTGTGCAGCTCAGACTCGTGATCTTCCTAGCTTAACCTCCCTATCACTGGGATTACAGGTTATGCCCGAGGGTGGGCCGGCTTGGCATGTGGTGCTGTGGATCAAACCGTGGTCCCTGTGCTTGCTTAAGCAGGCGCTTAGTCTGCTGAGCTAGCTTGCTGGCCCTAGGAGATTCATTTCTGGATCTGGTTGGGTTAGGATCGACTTTGGGATAAACTGATTTATTGCTAAGAGTGGGGTTCCCAAATTAGTGTCAAGAAGGGTTTGGTTTGGTGTGGTTTCTGGGGTTGTGTATGGTGCTGAGATGGAATCCAGGCCCTCAGCCCTGCCTGGCAAGCACCCCTCTGATCTACACCCGAGCCCCCGGGGTTCTAAGGCCCTGCATTTACCTGACGTTCCTTAGACTTCCTGATGGATGTTAAAGGGCTCCAGTTCTGGTGCGCTCTCCTTTTCTGAGCAGCAGTAAAGAAAAGGGGAGGAGCAAAGGGCGCCCGAAGTGACCCAGTGCACTCTCACCGCCTCCTCTTCAGAAGCCCTTTTTTGAGCAGCTGGTGCGTGTGTCTTCAGAAGAATGCGTAAGGCCCTGAGGGAAGAGGGTGGCCGCCCAGCCGCCCAGCCACCGCGTAGCTCTGGGGAGCCCTGCAGTTGTTCACCGAAGTGCCCTACGGGCAGCGGCCCTTCCTTCAGGAGACTTGAGCCCTAGGCACGGGGTGAGAGGCTTTGGGTCCCGGGCCTGTGGTAGCCAGGGACGAGAAAACTGGATGGAAAGAATGTCTGTTTCTGAAGAATTAGAGTCCTGATTTTCCTCTGGGAGATAGATGATCTGTGAGGTGAGAAAAACAAGATTTGCAGCGTTAAAATGACATTTTTAAAAGCCAACTTGAAAGTGTTTGCTCGCATTTTAACTTCCGCTCGACTGAGACTCGGGAGTGGCCTCGTGTGTACCAGCGTGAGCGCAGCCCCTCTGGGCTTTCCTAACAGGACTGTGGTGTAGATACATAGTTACCCTTTGACTCCAGATTGTACTTAAAATGCAACAGCAGCAAAACGTTGTTACCCACAGTGGCAACCCCACGTCTAATGATGAAGGTCTGGTTTAGAAAACTCGTATAGCAGTGCTGTGGAATTTGTGGCTTTATAGAGCTTTATTAATGAATGTAAAAAAAAAAAAAAACATGAAGAAAAAGAAATTTCAGATGTTCTAATATAGTACTTTACTTCTCAAAGTATGTTCCGTATCCCCGGAAGCTCTCTGCAACCCCCTTGAGCCGCTGAAACAGAATCCACATTTAATAAGCCCCACAGGTGACTGCCTGCACACTGGTTTGAGAATTATGTTGTAATGGAATGACAGTGCTGTGCATAATTATTATTATTTGGGAGGGGGGCAGAACCAGGGATTGAACTCAGACCCTTGTGCTTGCCAGGGAAGCACTTGGTCTCCTGAGCCATCTCCCCAGCCCCAATAATTATTTATAATTTGGTACTTCGCAAAATAAAAATAATTGAAGTGATAATCCCCCCCCACACACACACACACACACTCAGCTCTACCTGGCCTGCTGCAGGCCTGTAGTCCCCTGTTAGGGGATACTAATTGCTTGCCCCTTCCATCCATCCATCCATCCATCCATCCATCCATCCATCCATCCTTCCATCCTTTGTACCTTTCTTTTCTTCCCTTCTCCCTCCCTTCCTCCTCTCTCATGCTAAAGCCACAAAATACTGGAAAGTAAAAGACAAATATGCGTTGCTTCCTTTTTAAATCAGATATTAAAACTGGTTAATTCATTGTTTTTCTCATTGCCTCAGCTACCAAGATGCTAAATTTAATACTCAGTATAGTAATCCTGTTAGCCTAGCTTTGTTCAATATTTCACTCTGTCTGACCTATTTTATTAGGTTTTCTAGTATATTTATTATAAATCACTTAAAATTCTTTCTGAAAATGAGCCTATGTGATACAATTTCTAAAAATATTAATGCCCAACTTAAAAGTGCTCAATAAGTGATAAAAGAGGTCCATTATCCTTGAATCAAAGCCACTGAGGCCAGCTGTTTCAGAATGCATGTGCAGGACTGGGTGAGGGCGTGTGGTGTGGGTTCTGAGACCATGTGGTGTCGCCTTCCCAGGAGGGCAGAGGGGTGGCTGGGACTCACTCCTGGCAGGCAGAAGGCTCACGGCTATTTCCTGCACTCCCCTGCATTTGCTGAAGTTAGTTTGGTACTTGCCCTGCTTGCCTCGTTCTGACCAAGAGCTGGCACTTTTCCCTGGCAGCCTGGCCCAAGACAGTGAGTCCCAGCCAACCAAGGCTGCTAAGTGACTGCGGAACACTGTCCCCCTCCCTCGTGCTACATGTAACGTTCTGCAGTTTTCAGTTTCAGCAGCACAAACTCATCCAAGTGATCCTGATTTTTTTCAGAGTATGGAAATGCACAATAAATAGGATAATGACCATAAAAGTCGCTGTGTCTATTCAGGCCAAGCTTTGTGGCCAAGTGAGTGCTGCAAAATAAAAAAACAAAGCTTTAGTTTGCAGCACTCTTTGGACTTCAGATCATACATAAAGGAGTGTGGACCTGCAAAAACGGGCACACACACATCTCACAAATACTCAGTTTGATTTTTCTACTGTAACCTCAAAACTTAGCCTGGCTCTACATGTTTACACCACCTGCCCTCCAAGATTAGTCTCCCTTCTCAGCTACTGCCAGCTCTGGTATTACTGTTCTTGGCTACGCAAGTTTACACCCAAGTTCTTGCTCCTTTCCTTCCTTTCTCCCCTCAGACGGCAAGTTTTGACTCCCACTTGAAGGACCTCCAGTATGAAACTCCGCTTCCCGTTGTTTCTGACGTCCTGTTGGTCACCTGGCTTCCAGAGCCACCTCTACGCCTCAGCTTCCCTGCAGCCCATTCTACATTCCTCTGCCTCTTCCAAGATAGGTCTTCCTCACTCAGGAGTAATTAGTGATGCCTGTGGAATAAAATCCAAGCTCCCTGTCATTGGAAGCCTCTGAAATTTAGGCTCATTGTTTACCTAAATGTCTCACACCTTTTGCTTCTCCTGGAGCCCCTCCTCGCCAGCCAGACCAGTGCTCACCTTGTGTTCTGCAACACAGTTCACACGTCCACTCCTCGTCCAGAGGCCTTTTGAATATTTTGTTTTCTGACCTAGAGTGCCACCCTTCCTCATCCCCAACTGACTAACCTTTTACACATCCTTCCCAGCCTCGCCCAGGTGCCACCTCCACTGAAGTGACTCCCTAGTGCCCTGGGATCAAACTTAACACCTTTTACTCACCTGGTTTTCTGCAACACTCACATTTTGGGCCATACAGTGAATTAGGTACAATCACACCCTACCATAATCTCCTGTGTGTGTATTCTCTTCCTGTATAAGAATGTGTAATTCTTGGGGTACAAGGAACACCCATCTAAGAAGGTTGGCCATAGGCATACTATTGAACTGAACGAAGAGATGCCACCGAGGCTGCGAAACAAAGTTTTGAAACTGTTCAGGAAGGTTCTTGTTCTGCCAAAGGCCTCAGCCATCGCCTTCCTTAGCCTGTCTCTGATGTGTATTACTCCCTCTTCTCTTATATTTGTCATATAAAAGAACTTGGATAGCTTTTTAGAACTGCAGTCCTTTTGCCAGACAGTAAATCAATAAAAGAAAAAGAAAAGGACAGAATAATACCTGCCAGGCTCCACCTAATAATGAGCTTATGAAACTAACCCCTGCCTGTTTTCAGTTCTGCCTTTCTCTCCCTGTTCTTCTTCCGCACCTCGGAACACACAGGCTGGGTGTGGCCATGCCTTGCTGTAATCCCAGCGCTCGGGAAATGAGGAAACTTGCTTGTTGAGAACACTTTATATATAAATGGAATCGTGTGTATTTCCAAGCAGACGCTGCTCTTCGGCGTTGGGCTTCTTTAACATGATGCGTTCAAGGTTCATCCACAGCATTTATCACTACTTCTGTTTCGTGGCTGGTTAATATTTCATTGTCAGGATAAATGCATTTAGGTGTGTGCTAGGTTCACCACAAGTTCGAGGCCAGCCAGAGCTACACCATGAAACCTTGTCTCAAAATAAAAGAAACCGGGCCAGGGAAATGGCTCAGTAGAATAAGCGCTTGCCTGGCAAGCACAAGGGCCTGAGTTCAATCCCAACCTCTGCAAAAAAAAAAAAAAAAAAAGAAAGAAAGAAAAGAAAAGAAAAGGAACCCCCCACCCCGCCCATACACCTAAAAAAGACTTTCTGCTTGCCCCGCCCCACCCTGTGTAGGTCTGATGCCAAATGACTCCCACCAGGGGGTCATGGGTCCTCTCTCCCAGGCCGAGTGGAAGCCCCTCCAGTGCAGCCCATTAGTCATTCTGCCTGAGTCACAAAGGAAGCGGCAGGCCCCAGTCCTCCCAAGAGTATGCTGACCACCGTTCAATGGAAATACTCACCAGCGCTCCAGCGGCTTCAGACTTCCTCTGTAATACAGAACAATAGGTGTTTATAGCCAAGCCTTGTTTTTAGAGCCAGTGCCAGAGCACTCCTCCCTCCAACATAGATTCCTCGACTGAAGAAAGCCAGCCTTTTACTCCTCCCACTTACCAGCTCCTAATTCTGCATTGCATGGCTGTCTCCCTTACCAGGCTGGAAGCTCTAGCTTGGGCTTCTTCACTCACCCCTGCACCCCCGGGGCCTAAAGGTCTGCCCAAGGGAAGCACAGTGTTTGCTATTGATTGGATATAAAAAGAAGTACTGCCAAGAGAGAACTAACTTATTAATCAGCTGTAATGTGCTAGTGCTTTGTGATAGGTTTTTAGGCTTCCTGAAAAAGAGTAAAGAGATGGAAAAGATAAAAAAAAAAAGCCTTTATTAACTCGAAGGACAGGATCGAGGGCGGATGGGTCAGGTAGATCCTCTGGCCTGAGACAAAGAAAGCTGAGGCTTTTAAGGACTTTTGTTAGGGGTGGGGCTTGAGGGGGATGTTTAGGAATCTCTGAGGAGTTGATTGGGGTCTTCCCTGAGGCGGCGGGAAAGGTGAAAGGAAATTGCAGCCTGGGTGAGCTGGAGGAGAAGCTGGAGGTGGTCTCTGGGAAGGTGAGCTGCTGTCGCAAGGGCTTCAGCCATACTAGATGACCACCATAATAGCTCAGCATTCAAGCAGGGCCGGAACCTCTCACTCTGCTATCCTCAGCACAGCCAGTTTATTCATGTAATTCACTAACAAAATTCACTGAAGTACACAACGCAGTGGTTTTTCATATATTTGCTAGATTGGGCCACCATTACTACTATTCCAAGATGTTTTCATCACCCCTGGGAGAAATGCTGTGTTCATCAGTAGCAACTCAGTTCTGCCCCCTTCTCTGCCCCACTAAGCTGCTAATCCAGCTCCAGATTTGCCTGCTAAGAATACTTTATATAAATGGAATTGTGCGCTCACTTCGGCGCATGTGCACAGAATGGTGTGTACCAAGCGGAAGCCGGTCTTTACCACAGTGCTTTCAAGGCTGCTGCGCACCGCGGCAGTTCCCAGGACTTCATTCTGCTTCGTGGCTGCTTAGTATTTCACTGTGGGGATAAATGCATTAGGGTGGGTTTTCACTTGCTGATGACAACTTGCAAATATTTTCTCCCAGCCTCCAGCTCCTCCTCCTCCTCCTCCTCCTCCTCCTCCTCCTTCTTTCTTCTTCTTCTTCTTTTTTTGCGGAACTGCGAATTGAACTCAGCCCCTTGCACTTGCCAGGGAAGCGCTTATTCCACTAAGCCATCTCTCCGGCCCCTTCCTTTTTTTTTTAATTGGTGTCCTTTGAATCCCAAGTTTAATTTTTTTTTTTTTTCCGGTACTGGGGATTGAACTCTGGACCCTGAGCTTGCCAGGCAAGTTTTTTTGTCTTTTTGAAATAGAGTATCGCAATAAGCGCTTCCCTGGCAAGCGCAAGGGCCTGAGTTCAATCCCTGGTTCGGCCAAAAATAAATAAAATACTTAAACTAACATTTAGGGGCTGGGGAAATGGCTCAGTGGAATAAGCGCTTCCCTGAAATAGAGTATGGCTATGTAGTTCAGGCTCCCCTTGAACTCACTTTGTAGGCCAGGCTGGCCTCAGACTGGTAATGATCCTTCTGCATCGGCCTCCCACCTGCTAGGATTATAGCACTCAATGAAAATGAAGCCCAATTTATTTTCTCCCTATTGGTTACACATGCATAAGTATTATACCTAAGGAACCATTGCCTCAGCTGGGCTGGGATTACACACCTGTAATCCCAGCACTTGGAGGCTGAGGCAGGAGGACCACCATGAGTTTGGGGACAGCCTGGGCTACATAAGGGAGTTCAAGGCCAGGCTGAACTACATGAGACCCTGGCTCAAAAAACAAAAACAAAACCACTGCCTAAGCCAAGTTGATGAAGATATATGCCTATGATTTTCTCTAAGATTTTTATAGTTTTACATGTAGGCCTTTGATCCATTTTGAGTTAATTTTCTATGTGCAGGTACGGGACCAACTTCACGCTTGCACTTGCATGAGCACCACTTATTGGAAAGCCTTATCTCCCCACTCAATAGTCTTGGCGGGGCTGGTGAGATGGCTCAGTGGTCTAAAGCACTTACTTAGAACAAGCTCAGCAAAGCACAGGGACCGCGGTTCAATCCCCCAGCACCACATGCCAGCCAGCCCGCCCCCTGGTGGGCTGAGCTGGTCACACACACACATAAATAAATAAATAAATAATTTTTTAAAAAAATTAAAAAAAAAATAGTCTTGGTGTCTTTGTTGAAAATTAGCCATAAGTGCTTGGGTTTATTTGCAGTGTGTTGTGTTCCGAGGAACAAGCCTATCTTTGTGCCCCTGGTATTTCACCATCTTGACAACTGTAACTGTAGTAGATTCTTAAATTGAAATGTGCGAGTCTTCTTCCAGTTTTGTTGTTGTTCTGCATTATTTTGACTTCTGAGTTCCGTGAATTACCATAGGAGTTTTAGGCTTGAGTTGCCAATTTCTGCAAAAGTCCAGATGAGATTTAGGCAGGGACGGCAAAGCATCTGTAGATCAGTTCAGGCGGCATTGACATCTGAGACAGGGTCTAACTGTACAGTTCAGGCTGGCCTCAAACTCATAGCAATCCTCCTGCCTCAGCCTCCTCATGCTGGGGTAATGGGCGTGCGCCACCACACCCAGTGCGTATTGCCATCTTGATCCTATTGTCTTCCCATACATGAACACGAGATGTCCTCCCATTTATTTAAACATTTCATTTTTCTATTTTATTTTATTTTTATATACTTAGTACAGGGTCTCCAGGGTCTCACTATGTAAATTGGACTCTTAGTGATCGCCTGCTTTCAGCCTCCCAAGCGCTGGGATTACAGGCACGCGCCACCACGCCCAGTCTTAGACATTTCATTTAGCAATGCTTTCTGATTTTCATCCTCCAGTTTTGCACTTCTTTCATTAGCCTTATCCCTAAAAACTTTGTGCCTTTTGACGCGATTTTAATAAACTTAATTTCATTTTCAGATTGGTCCTAGCTTGGGTATACAAACACAATAGATTTTGGTGTATTAGTCTTGGGTACTGCAGCTTTGCTGAGCTTGAGTCTCATCTGTAGTAGTTTTTAGTGGATTGTGTAGGATCTTTCAGACAGAAGATCATCTCTCGGCAAATAGGTGTGTGTCATTATTTTAAATTTTCCTTTCCAAATGGATTTTTAGTTTCTTGCCCATCCTGGCTATAGTGTCCAGTACAATGTTAACTAGAAGTGACAAAAGCAGATGTCCTCATCTTGTTTATGGTGTAATCTTTAGGCTGTGTGTGTGTGTCTGTGTGTGTGTGTGTGTGTCTGTGTGTGTGTGTCTGTGAGTGTGAGTGTGAGTGAGTAAAGAAGGACCCTCTCCCTGTTTACATTAAGCTCCAGTGAGGAAACTGAGGCTCAGAAGCTACACAGCTCCTGCAGGGCTCAGCTAAGCTCACGCTCCACCTTCTCTGTGCCCGTGTCCACTCTCCTTTGCCTCCTGACACCCCGAGGCGTGGACAGCTTCCCCTTTGAGCATGGCTTCAGACCACTTTCATTGTCCCAGCCCACACAGGGAAGTGGCGGAGCAGGGCTGCTGTTCTCCTTCCTGGAGAGTCATGGTGCTGGTGAAGCGGCAAAGTGGCTCAGAGCTAGCAACCACCCTGACTCCCGCTGCCAGCTGTGTGCTTTGAAGGAAGAACCGAAGATCTCCAGGAGGTACTAAGTGTACTCCGAGAGGCCACACAGCTGCTTCTGCTTTGCTTTCTTTTTTCTTTTTTTTGGCGGAACCGGGGATTGAACTCAGATCCTTGTGTTTGCCAGTCAAGCACTTATCCTACTGAGCCATCTCCCCAGCCCTGCTTTGCTTTCTATAAGCAAAAAGAATAAGGCAAGCATTCTTCTGTGTGTTTTATGATAGTGAAGAACTAAAATGTGGGGAGGAGAGCGAGACGGGTGGGATCTGAGGGTCCAGGGAGGAGAGGAAGGGGCGCTGACAGTCGGACTGGGAAGGAGAGTGGCAAATTGCTAACCGTCTCCAAGAAAGAACCTGAAAGGGGATTTACACAGAATCTCTTGTGCAGAAGAAAGGAAGTATAGGGTAAGGATGCCTCTGTGTGTTCAGGTGGGCTGGAGGGAGACAGCACCCAACTGCAGCACTGCCTCGGGACGCCTGTGTGTGGAAAGAGGCTCCTAAATAGCAGCCTCTCTGCCCCTCCCAACAGGGCTCTCAAGGAAAGGCAGGAGGTAGCCAAGGGACAGGCTGAGAAGAAGGAGCTGGCCCACCGTGGAGCCCACTTTCTGGACTTGATATGAGGCAGAAGGTAGCCAAGAAAACAGCTAGGGGAGAAGTGGAGGGCCAACCTAGAGTCTGCTTTCTGGGACTAAACCACCTTCTGAGTAGTCCAGGACCAAGTGTCCAGGTCTAAAGATAATGGGAAAAAAGTATGCAGGCAACTTAGCTCATACACAGTGAGTCCCTGGGCATGTGGGGCTGGAGGCCTGCCACGCTTGCTGACCCGACCCTAATTGTGTCTTTGCATAGATTTGCCACAAACCCCCTCTGGACTTTGGACACTATGATGATAGTCCCTTTAAAGGCCCTAAGAGGTCAAAAATAGCCAGGTGTGGAGATGCACGCCTATAATCACAACTCTCAGGAGGCTAAGGCAAGAGGATCCCTGGGAGTTTGAGGCCAGCCTGAACTACATAATGAGATCCTGTCTAATAAAATAAAATAGCAAACATCTCCGTGGTCCTGCATGGAGACCATTCTGGGGACAGAGACTTGAGGAGCACCAGGGCCCTGCTGCAAGGAGGCATTTCAGGGTCCCTGGGGTTGAGACAGGCCTTGCCCTGGAACAAGGAGGTGACTCCCCTGCTTTGAAGACAGCGCAGTGCCCCTAGGAAGGAGGGGCTGGCGGGGAGCAGCTTAGGAAGAACCCGTTCCCAAGGGCCCTTCTGGCTGGTGCGTGGGATGTGGCTGAGACAGACCTGAAACGGGATGGATATGAGGAGAATGGCATGCTGCCCTAACCCAAGGGAGCCTGGGGACCTTCTGTACCTCAGGCACTGTCACTTCAGACAGCGCACTTCCTGGGTGGCTTGCCAGGCGTCCCCAGCATTGTCTCCTCTCCCTCTCTGACAACACACCTCTTCTGCTTCTGTCCTTTGTCTCCCTACCTAGGGGACATCTGCTTAGCTCCTTGGCCTGTGCCAGTATTCTCCCTCTAGATGCTGGGGGCACCTTGTCACAGCCTCTGCCCCACAGGGCTTGCCTGCAGCCTTCCACAGGCCTTCGCCCGAGGGAGCTCAAGGGCAGCATCTGCTTAATCTCAGTGTCCTCAGCCCAGGAATCAAGACCCAGGAGGCTGGCTGGGATGCCGTCTCACAGAGGTAACGTCTCACACGTTACCTTTTCCGTCTGCCTTGTAGTCATCAGGGAGGAGCTTGTCCTGCCGGTAGCCCAGCACAAAGGCCAAGAAGGAGAGGATGAGGGCATCGCCGATGCTGAGGATGGCCAGCATGAAGGCCCAGCGGATGGTGCAGTGGCCCAGCGTGTACTTGCCCGTCTGCTCCCCGCACATGCGCCGCACCTCGCTGGAGTCCCAACCGTCCGGGTAGACCAGGCAGCCGATCATTAGACCTGTGGCTGAAGGGACGAGAGAGAGGGTGGCATCAGGCCGGTGGGCGGGCCAGCTGCCTTCCACCGTGAGCTGCCCTCGTTATCTCCTGTGAGTGAGCCTGGGGTGGTGTCAGGAGCAGCTTCTGCCATCCTTATAGTGTACACATGCAAAGCCTGAGGTTCCGAAAGCTAAAACAGGGGCCCCCAGGGTGCACAGTCCAGGGACAGCTGAGCGCCTCACCCCAGGGAGAGCCGAGCACCTCACCAGGCACCAGGTGGTCCCACCAGTACCCGTGGGCCCTCTCCCTGGGTTTGGAGAGGCACCCAAAATCTGACCCCAGCCCACAGCACTTGGTGTTCACATTGCAGCATCTCTGAAATAACTGGAATAAGAAAGCACCGGGCCACAGCTTTCATTAGCCACTTTTCCACTTTACTGTCCACAGCACGATGACGTGAGCTATGCCTCGGGCTCTTCAATTGGGTGATCACCGGCAGCGTCCTAGCCCCACCCTGACAGCCCCCTTCTTGAGCCTTCCACAAGCGCATGTCAGCCAGCGCACCCGCCCTTGGCCCCTCAGCTTCAGAATCCGCTGGAACGTTCATTTCACATGCTGCCCCCCAGGTCAGGGTTGGCTCCGGAACCCTGTTTGGAAAATGCTCTTCCAGGCCCTTCTCAGTAGGAAATGTGGGGAACCCCAGGCCACATGGCCTGGATGTCAAGCCCGGCTCTTTGTGGACTAGCTGTGCGACCCGAGTTTCCTCCTCTATAAAATGAAGACAACACTACCTACTTGGGGCTGCAATGACTTCAAGTGAGTTAAGACGTGAAAGGTGCCTGGAACGGTGCCAGGCACACACCTAGGCACTAGGACGCACCTAGGCACGCTCTGCACGGCACCCCATGTCTCCACTGCATGGGGCTGGAAATGCCACTCTGCCTGCCTTCACCCGTGGCTCCAGCCCCCTCCCATGAGCCACGCCCCAGCCTTGGTTTCACTAAGGGAAAGCACAAACAGAGGCATAGGCCAGGGCTATGACCCCACGCCCAGCTGCCGTGCGAGCGCTCTCCGTCCTTGTCCCTTCCCAGCCCTCTTTCCACAGCCGCAGCAGCTCTGTAGTTCAAGGCTGCGCTCTAACCTGCAGCCCCCAGGAAGTGCCTCAAGCACCTTTGAGACCCAAAGCTACAATGACTGAGCCGGGCTTGTCCTCGCAAGGAAGCCCAGAAGATCAAACAAAAACCAAAAATATCAAGACCAGGGTGCCACCTCCCTGCCTGAGTGGCTTCCCTTGATTTTTGTGGACGCTAGCTTGCGTGGTCCCCTCAGAGGCCACAGTCAGCTCATGCACATCCTGACTCCGGCCAAAGTTCTGTGGAGCAGGCCAAATGCTCGTGTTGTCATCCTACTGATGCTGAGAACTGAGTCTCAGAGAAGCCAGGAGCTCACCTGCCAGTCATCCAGCCATGCAGAGTCAAGAGCTGAATTTCTGTCTGTCTCACTCACTCTCCAAAGAGTTGAATGTATTTAGTGGGGCCATTTCACACTTGTGACAAATGAGGGACAGGACCCTGAGTTCAAGGGAAGGGATCACTTCTCCCACAGCAATCTGGTAAAGCCTGTGTATCTGGGCCCTTTCCCAGGTGGTGGATCCAGCCCTCCTGTGGCTGGCCCGATCCTTGGCTTAAGAAACACCCCACAAATGCTGAGTGCAGGAGTGAATGTGGGAAGGAGCTGCCCTCCAGATTTCTCATGCTCCCACCTCTCCTGTTGTCACTTCCTTTTCTAGAGCATCTCCCTACAGGTACTCTGGGAGCGAGCCAAGAGCCTCTGTCCTGGAAATAGGTGATTGTTGCTGCGGCCATCCCAGGCCCCCTCGTGCAGAGGCCAGCCTGGTGTTCACAGGGTGCTTACCCTTTCCAACTTCCATCCTTTCATCAGTAAAGTAGGCTGATACCTGAGTTACAGCAGGGACACAAGAATTAAGTGTGAACACATATGGAAAACACCTGTCACCCAGGGCTGGCACATGCTAAGTGGCCACTGAGTGTTGACCGTTGCTGTTGTTGGTGATGGAGTCAGACGGAAGCCACCTTGGAGGATGTGATGTAATCAGAGCTGCCCAGGTACAGGCATTCCAGGCACAAGCGGGGCTTGCACTTCGTACTTTGTGGCTCCCTCCCTTGAGGTTAGGCAGGGCTGCCTGAGGTCCTTTGGCCAATGAGAGGTGAGCGGGAACGCTGTGAGCACTTCTAGCCAGAGCCTTCAACTGCCAGTGGGAGACCTCCCCAGGCTGTCTTCCCCCGCGCAGTAACATCAGCCAGTGACAAGGAGCTCTGCCATCTTAGGTTCAGAAGGGGGAAGAGAACCCCCTACTAGTCCCCAGCGGGCATGCACCATAGGCAGAGACAAAGTTGGTGTCAACCCACAAGGCCTGGGAATTGGTAATACTGTGGCCTTACTTCCCGTCCTGATGGATGCTTTCCACATTACTGTGCAGGCATTAGGTCATCCCATCCTCTCAAGAGTCCCAAGGAAGGGGGACTATCATGGCAGCCTACAGGTGAGGTCCCATGGCCTGAATTTTTGGGTTCCCCAAAACCCATACAATGAAATCCTGACCCCAATGTGATGATATCAGAAGTGAGGCTCTGGAGAGGGAAGTAGGTCATGTGGGTGGAGCCCTCATGCAAGGGACCCCAGAGAGCCTTCTTGCCCCTCTTCTCATCCTTTATGGACACGGGAAACCAGCAGCCCATGACAGCCCCTGCCTCTCGCCAGGACTGAACTGCTGGCCTGATGGCAGATTTTTTGCCTCCAGAATTATGAGAAGCAGATTTGGGTTGTTTAACTCTCCTGGCCCCTCAGTCGCAGATCGCTTGAGAGCCTGCTAAATAGACCAAGACCTGGGTTTGCCAAGCCGTACAGGCGACAAGCAATGTGTCTGGCCATGTCTCGAGGAGCTGGCACCAGGCTCAGCCCCCCTGTGGCCTCCAGAAGGTCAGCTAACTCCCCCAGCTGCAGCCCACCCTGCTGTAGCACCAGTCCTCTGCTCCCCTCTTTGTGGGCAGGGTTAGGCCTCCTAGTTTAGGGCTCCCTAAGTGGATGTATCTCCCAGCTGCTCACGGGGGGACATGGCTGCACCTCAGCCCTCCCTCGGGCTCACCCTCCCCTCCCCCATACAGCAGAATGGGAACACGATGCCAGCTTCACCCTCCCCAGCATCCATGTTTCATGGGCTGCCACCTGGCCACCTCTGCTATCAGTTTTTCCAGCTCTGACCCAGATAAGGTCTGACTCAAATGACCAGGGGATGCCTCCCCCAGCCAGGCCTTGCTGCCACTGCCCAATTAGCGAGCAGCACCTGTCACAGGACACCAAGGTAGGGGGGAGCACAAGAATGAGAGAGGCGTCCATCCTCCTCCTCTCCCACCCAGAACTGCTAGGCCTTCAGGCTACCCTCCGTCTTTCTTCCTATTGCCCACCGAGACGTGCATGTGGGGAGACTATAGAGGCAGGGATACGGGAAGGGGATGGCTGGGTGCTTAGGAGCCAGGTTAGTGGCCTGGAACAAGACTGAGAACTGAGCACCTGTCTCCCACCCACTGTACCCAAAGACAAGTTCCCACTAACAGCCTTCTCTGTGACCGAGGAACACTCCCCTGCTGAGTGGCGATGAGGCCCTTCTAGCTGGGATATGTTCAGCCATTGTGTGAGTCATTTTACTTATGTCGATGTGGGCCTCAACAAAAACGTTTCTAGAACACATCTAGTTCCTCGGGACCTGCTGCCTTAGTTCTGCTAGGTCCCCAGTTGCCAGCTGATGGGCAGTTCTTGGCCAAATCTGACTCCTCTTCTAAGTTGAGGGTGGGGTTCTGCTCCCAGGAGGCCTCCTGACTCTGCAGTTCCATTTCTGTGTTTTGTGTTCTGAGATGTAGTGTCCTGTTCCTTTCCCCTAAGATAGCACCACCCACCTTGGGTGGGCTGGACCAAGGGCGAACAGCTGCAGATGAAGATGAGATCTTATCTGTCTGTTCCTTGGGCCAGGGACAGGACAAGGGCAGGGAAGGCCTGGCCTCGGGACACCACCCATTGCGCAGCTTTACAGGACCCTTGGCAGCTCCCCCAACCTCATGTAACACTGCTCTAGTTGCTGCCTCAAGTGTAGAACCTCCAGCTTGAGGAACAAAGGCTTCGCTCCCCAGTAAGAGGAGCCTTGAGACGCACGTTTCTAAGAAGAGACCACACCCAGGGTGACAGTTATGCTCCAGAATCGACACTGACCTTGAAACCATCAGGGGGAGAGGTTTGAGGCAAGAGGGACAGAGGAAGGTCAGAGGGCATCGGGTGCCATGAAAAGTGGAGGAACAGCGCCCAGCAGAGGGGGCCAGGTCGGCTAGGAAGTAGGGCACTAGAACTGGCATCCCTATGTGGCAAGGGTCAGGGCCTATTCTGACAAGGATGACAGCAGATGCTCCCTTCTTTCTCTGTCCAGAACTGCAACCTCTGCCACGGTGGCCTGGGAGGGCCGGAACACCTGATTTCTTCTCCCAGGGCTGTGTGCCCCTGGAAGTCACCTCTCTCTGGGCTACCCCAAGAGAGTCCACCCCCGAAAAGGAAAAGGTGGAGCACTGAACAGTGCGGCCTCTGAAGGTCCTTTGTGCCCCACCCGTCTTGTCAGAGCATGAGACCCAGAGGCTCCTCGGAGCTTCGGTCTGTGGCGACGGGGCCTCCCCCGCCCGCCGCTCACCTGCCGCCAGCTGCATCCACGCACAGATCTTGTACACCGTGGCCGTGTTGCACACGAAGAACAGGCTGAAGCAGATAATGGAGCCGATGATGAGGAACATGGCCAGGGCTACGAAGAACATGGCCGTCTTGAAGGCCCTGGAGGGGATGGAGCCGAAGTCGAGGGGGCCGCCTTTGCAGATGAGCTCGGATGACAGCACGTTGCCCACACAGTAGGAGAAGAGGCCGAAGTAGCCGGCCTGCGGTGTGCTCACACTGTCGCCGATCCAGTAGGGCTGGATGAAGAGGGCCATGACCAGAACCGAGAAGCAGATGGTGAGCGTGCCCCACATCACGCCCACGGCGCGCGCGTTCCGCACGTAGTTGGTGTGGTAGATCCTGGCCGCCTCCTGCGCGGGCAGCAGCTTCACCATGGCGAGGGCCGCGGTCGCGCTCCCCGGCCAGGACCGGGGGGAGGCTGAGGCAGGACACTGGGAGAGGCCCCTGCGGGCGGGAGAAGACGCTGAGCGGGCCAAGGCCGACCTCGGTTTCCTCGGGGCAGCTTGCAGGGCGCCGGCCCGCGCCGCCCGCCGGCCCTCTAGACGCCGACCCTCCGGGCCTCGGCCGCCTCTTTCTCCGCCGC